AGCATTCTGTTGTGGGAAAAACCCACATCAGCCATTAGATCCCGGCCATGAAAGCCTTCACGAATACGTAAGGGGAGGGTTTCCCACCAATATTTTCAGTAGCATTAAAAAGCATTCTGCCCTTTTATTGCTTTGAAAAAGAGTTATAAAATACCCACCTGTTAAAGAAGCATTCAGTTGTTGTTGTTGTTGTTGTTGCTTCTGTCTTCAGTGATGTCAGCAGATACAAAGAAAAATTATTGGCTGTAAGACTGTGATGCCCTTTTGTTCCCTGTTTGATTTCCAAATGCCACATATTGCTGCTGTGATTAATCTTGGTACGACTGCCCTTACTCTGAACTGACTTTATTTACTCTCCCAGACATCATCTTCAGATTTACATTTAGGCCTTAAATGTCTGAATGGTGGGAAGCAGCAGCCAATATGGAAGCAATGGCAGTGCACAAAGTTTTAAAAGACAAATATTCTAGGGTACGGCTGAACGTTCTGTGAAGAAAACTTAAAATGGGTAGACTCTTTCTCGTCCCTTGTTTTGCTGTGGTGATCGCCTCGTCAGTGAAAAACTGGCGGATGGCAGGGAGAGCACTGCTAGCTTTACTAACACTGCAATTTCTCCCCGCAATTGGCCTACCCATGAACAAGGCAGCTGATTGCAAAACGGGCTTAAAATAGCCTCATAAAAAGGGGGGGGGACAGAATCTATTTCTTGAAAACACTACTTTCAAATTAAAAACAAGCATGGAGGTACTGTTGGTGCAGCTCCTGTACAGCTCCTGGATGATCCCAAGGCATTTGACTGTACTCTGTCTGTGCATGGCTTATTCTTGTGTTCAGACTGGTCTGGAAGGGTCATGGGGCACCAAGGACAGCTCCCCAAAAGTACCTTGGTCCAACAACAGATGGCGCTGTGTTGAAGCCTCGTGGAGCTGGTTCAGAAATACGGCCTCCAGGCTTCACTCCTACATACAAAAGTAGGAAGCCTCAAAGCAGGGATAGGCTTCTCCAGAAGTCTGGGTGCTACACATGGCCATCATTGAAATTTGGAGGGCTACATCTTTTTGCTCTTCTTCATATTTTTTCTTTCCAAAACTGAGCTTTAAAAAAAACAACAACACTGAGGTACATAGCTCCTGAAGCCTTCTTACGGCCAACTTTTTATGGAGGGGGAACTCAAAGAGTATTTGGGGGCTGCCAAAATGGGGTAGAATTGGCTCCTAGAAGACCGCAAAGGGATGTTTTAAAAACTGTATTGGGACTGTTGAGGTGCTGATACCCCCAGGGGTGCTGGGGTGCTGCATCGAGACCCCCATGCCTCGCAGCCTATGGTAATGCATATGTGCTCGCAGCTCCTGGGGTCATGATGCTCCTGAAGGAGGGTGGCCTGGAGGATGATGGCTTGCAACTGGGTATGCACAATGGAACACAACCAGCATCCTCAGCATTTAAAAAAAAGGAAGGGAATACTAACTTAATTAAATTAATTAAATCCTGTATGCTCAGATAATGCAAAATTTCCACTGCAACCCATTTCTTACTTGGTCATGAAACAGAGGGTGGTTTACCAGAATTTGCACCCCAGTGTCCCTTTAATAAGCCAAATTGTTCATCCTCTGTAATGAGATGTGATTTGCTACTAAGACCTGCAGGATTTTTGGCTGTCAGCTCCGAAAGGAAAGTGTGATACAACCAATTCCTGCTCCCTGTACAAAATGGTACTAAAAATACCTCCTCTTGAACACAGCAGAGTAGGAATTTATGGACAAAGTCACTATACTAAGAGACAGAAGAGGAATGTCATATGTATGGAAGAAGAAAAATACCGATAATATTAATGCGAAGTCAGTCCTGTACATTTAGGAGAATATGCATTTTGTTGGGAAGAACCCTATATAGCTACTGCCATCTCCTGCAGTATGACACATCCAAAATCAGTTCCTCGAGGTGGGTGCCTCACCCTTCTAAGGCCAGCTCTGTGCTGTCATTGCTATCCTCCTTCCTCTGCTCCTAACTCATGGTGCAAATTGTGGGGAGACTGCCATCTTACAAGTTGCTATCCTCACCTTCAGTCTTAGATAATGCTCACAGGAGGCAATGAAGGAGAAGATCTGATCACGAGAGGGGTGAATTAGGGGGGACTTATAGATTTCATTAAGGACCCCTGCCTTTCCTGTCATAATTTGAACATTGTTCTTATTTCATTTTCAACCTTCATTTTCTCATACATCCAGGATGACAGGCTATGTACTCACATGAAGTCCCCATATGAACCACTACTTAGTCTAAATTGTCATCTATTAAAAACAGAGCAGATCAAGGTGTGCTTAGCAATCTCCCACCCCTGCGCCCACAGGATTCTGTTAAGGTCATCGAACAAAAGTGTCGCCTGTTTAAAAAAGGAAAAAGAAAACCAGTAGCTGGGCAGGTAGTTGATTGGGAGGGGGCTTTAAACCAATCCTCACCTTTGCTATTTTCTCCGTTTAATTTATGCAAGGGCTTCACCTTCAATCTGTTGCATAAAAGCAACAAGTATTTATAGCACACAGTTGTTTCTGAAGAAGTGGGCTGCAACCCATGAGAGCTTGTAACCAATCTAAAGGGGAGGAATGTCTTTAGTAATTTTAATTTTTACTAACCATAGGTCTGCTGTTCTTCCTCTGTTCAAATCAAACTTCTCATCTGTTGTCTGTCCTGTGAAGAAAATGACACAGATATGAAAGAGGTGCTCAGGGCCATCCCAAGATATTCTGATGTCTGAGGCAAAAGGCAAAATGACATCCTCATCTTCAGCCTACAGAAGCCAACAAGACTGGTACTTGGATCTTATGCAATCCTGACAGTGGGAAAGCCTATTTCAGTAAACTGGAGTATCTCAGATTAGCTGGGGGTGCAGATGTAGGTCTGGCTGCATGATGCACAGAGTTCTGTCTGTTTTCTATCCCTCAGCCTTTGATGCCTGAGCTGGCTGCTTCACTGTGCCAAATGATAGGGCCAGCCCTTCAGTTTAGCGGTCACACTGGATTTGACCACCACATGGGAGGAAAAAAAGGAGGGCCAACCCAAGAATGGAGCCTCTCCATACAGAAATGAGTGGATAGTGTTGCTCTATGCATAGCCAAATGGGGGAAAGTCAGATAATCATTTGCTTCCATAACCAACCATGAAGTTACCAAGATCTCCCTTCTGAATGTGAGGGAACCTCTCCTATGTATAAACGAGTTGTATGTCATGTTGCAGGTAGGTGTTTCAGGTGAAGGCCAAGATCACTGCTTTTATTCATAGTAAAAGGTAGTGTGTGAGCCTTCCATAGAAACAAGGTTCTGGATTAAGTGGCACCACTATTGGATCACTAAAATGTTACAAACAAGGCAAGCTTTGGGGTTCTCCAGAACCCTTCAAGAGGCAAAAAGGGTACAAGGCAAATAGTAAAAACAACAACAAAAAATTGAGCCAGGTGTAATGCCCTTTGTCCTTGAAAACAGACTGCTCAGCAGGCGCAATGGGCTATGCACATTCAACATGAGTCTGAGGTGTCAAACATATCCATTTACCGTCTCTCTTTTCTCTGCAACCAGTCTCCATTTACAGTCCCTCTTTTCTCTGAAAACAAAAGCCTGCCTTCAGCCCCTGTGAAACTGTCCGTTGCCTTGGGTGAAGCACACAGACCCCCTTTGTAGGCTTAGAGCAGACAGACCTGGAGCAAGATAGCCGGCTTTGTGTCAGCAACACAGAAGATCAAACGGAGGTATCCCACTGGGTTAAAAAAAAGGAATTACAGCCAAATCAGCGGTCAGACCTAGTGGTTGAAGAAGATGGAATCCTTGTCATAGTCTCATGGGAACACTTGTTTTTTACAGCAGCAGAATTTGCACTAGGCTATTTCCGGTAGCACATAAGGAAAGGTACCTCTGTGACCAATCCATAGGAAAAAGTTCTGGGCACAGTAAGTTACAAACAAGATGAGATTTTCTCCAGGCCTTACTTATAAGAAGCATGCCTAAGCCAAGGCAGGGGACCTCATTCAGCCCAAAGCCAAAAATTGAACTTAGGAGGACATATGTAGTTATAGCAAAAAAGTGGCATCACAAATACAGTACCATGACAAGGCATTTAAACCTTTTAGATTGGGGAAGAAAAGAATATACAAAACCTGGGAAACCACCAAAACATGAACTGAAATCCTGTAGCTTAGCATAAGAAATATCACAACTTTTTGGGCCATTCCTAGTGGGGGAAATAAAGCAAAGTCTACTGCTTATATACTGTCCCATAGCGCGTAACGCTGAATGGTTTACCATTCATTTGTGCAGGCTACACATTCTGCTGCCCTCCCCAGCAAGCTGGGTACTCAGTTTACAGCCCTCGGAAGGATGGAAGGCTGAGTCAACCTTGGCTAGCAACCTGAGCCTGTTGGGGTCAAACTCAGGTCATGAGCAGGGTCTTGACTGCAGTACTGTTGTTTAAAGGTCCCTGCCATGACTCTTGGGTGGCGCATGCATACTGACTTGGGGTTTGTAAATGAGCCTCCAGAAATCATGGCAAGGACTTTTTACTTGTTGGTTAGAAGAGGGCTGAAAGTTATGCGTTTTCTTATACTAAGCAACAGGATTTCAGCTGTGGTGTTATGGCGGAGCCTTCTTGAGAACTTCTTGAGGGCTGAACTGAGATCCCAGGAGAGCCAGATTCAATCCCAGACCCCAAGGCTCTTTGCTCCTGGATTTTGGTTTGCTCACTGAAATAAGTAAGATCTGCCATTAGCCATGATCCTGGCTGCCGATGTGTGGCTTTCTGGGGACCACTGTCAAGTTTCAATCCAGAGTGCATGTTAAATCCTGCTTTAGAAAATACAACCTACATTTCCCAGTGTGTTAATAACCTGACCTCCCGGAAAGGTCCTGCTGTGTGTAGTGAAACTGTCTATTAACTCCCTCGTATGCCTCTGGTTTTGGTGTTTAATCTCTGGCAAGAATTTTAGAAGGTCAAAGTCCCTTTCTTTGAGGAATGCCATACAAGCAATAAAACAAGAGCTATCTGCAGACAGGTGTTTTTTTTTTTTTAACAACAACAGATATTTTGAGTTAAGAGGGAATATCTTTGTTGAGGAATGAAAGGGGAAAGAGCTGTATAAACAGAGCACAGGCTGGAGCAGAAGTAGATGTACTGGGAAACCAATATTTTTATATTTGTTTCTCTTAATGCTGAACTGTGATTAGAGTCACAGGATTTGCAAGGCAAGATTATGTCTTGTGATCTAAACCCTGGAATCCCTGTGCCACCACATCAACTCAAGATATTAGATTCAGATGGGACACCACATTATCAAAAATCCTGTGGAAGCTATCATCCTAATTTATACTAGTTTGTAGAAATGTAGGCCTACAGGTCACCTGGACCCAGTTCTCCCTGTTATGGTTAAATGCCCTGGATTTCTATTTAAATCGTAGCCTTCTTTTCTCTGTATGAAGCTATACATATATAGTATCTTAACATGCACACTTTTTATGCAAATCTGCACTCTATTTTGTTTTGTTTTGGCAACATGCATTCTCCTGTTTGATGATTCATAAGCAAATCTCCAGCTGGGTAGATAGCTCAGTTGTTTAGATATCTACCTGCAAAGTCAGAGGCTGGGAGGTTAATTGTGCTAGCCATGAGGTCAAGGGAGGAATTTGAGCATGTGAGATGAGGGAGCATCTATGTCTGGGGCATGGTCCAGGTGGCTTCTGTTGTCCAGAGTTTCTTCTACAGCATCTTCTCTTAACATGTTGTTGTTGTTGTTGTTGTTCTTGTTGTTGTTGTTGTTGTTGTTGTTGTCATCGTCGTCGTCGTCATCGTCATCATCATCATCATCATCCAATGTTTTTTGATCCAATGCTTCTAATGCATTTTGGGTCCAATCTTTTATTCCAGCTGGGTATCTAATTACTGAAACTGCCCATGTGTTCATGGCTTTGATTGTATTTCCACTATTCAGTTTTGATTTTAAGATTTTCCATAGTCTTTTGATGTATTCCTTTCTGTCAGATCTTTAATTTTTGTGTGCAGGATGCTACCTGCTTCTAGTATTCCAAACTATTTATAATTTTCATCACTTGATAGTGATTTTATAATGTCACCATTTTAAAACTCTATTCCATCTACTTTTTGGATGTTGCCACATCGACTGGGTCAATGTGTGCTTGGGTCAAAAAAGAGACCGGGCTTCTTGACATGCTAAATGACTCTGCCTTGGAGCAACTTGTCATGGAGCCCACTAGAGGACAGGTTATTCTGGATTTAATATTGTGTGGTGCTAAGGATCTGGTTAGAGATGTGAATGTCACTGAGCCGCTAGGTAATACTGACCATGTTGCAATCTCTTTCATCATGCATGTTGGGGAGAGAGTGTCAAGCAAATCTGACACAAAACCCCTTGATTTCTGAAGGGTGGGCTTCCCTCCGTTGAGGACACTAGTTAGAAAGAAGTTGAAAGGAAAGGTAAAAAGAATCTAATCTCTCCAGAGTGCATGGAGTCTGTTTAAAGCAACGGTAGTAGAGGCCCAGCGGAATCTGGACATTGTCACTTAGGGGTGTACTCACTTTTGTTGCCAGTGGTTTGGACATGAATGGCTGTGTGTTGCGTTATTTTGTTGCACTATTTTGAGGGGACAGCACATTTACGCTGTTACACAAACTGTATACTCACTGCTTTACATTGTAGCCAAGTGTCATTTCTTCAGTGTTGTCACATGAAAAGATAATACTAAAATATTTATGAAATGTGAGGGGGTGATATATTGTAGGTATCATTAAAAAGGGAATTGAAAATAAAAGAGCCAACATTATAATGCCATGGTACAAAACGATGGTATGGTCGCACCTGAAATATTGCGTACAGTTCTGCTCACTGCACCTCAAAAAAGACATAATGGAACTGGAAAAGGTGCAGAAGAGAGCAACTAAAATGATGGCTGAGCTGGGGCACCTCCCTTATAAGGGAAGACTACAGCATTTGGGGCTCTAGTCTAGAGAAAAGCCGCCTGAGGGGGGACATGACTGAGACGTATAAAATTATGAAGGGGATGGATGAAGTGGATAGAGGGAAGCTCTTTTCCTTCTCGTGCAATAGCAGAATCATGGCACACCCACTCAAATTGAGTGTTGAGATAGTGAGGACAGACAAAAGAAAATATTGCTTTACCCAGCATGCTGTTAGTCTGTGGAACTCGTTGCCACAGGATGTGGCGCCAGCATCTAGATGCCTTTAAAAGGGGATTGGACAGATTTGTGGAGGAAAAATCAATTGCAGGTTACAAGCCATGATGGGGATGTATAATCTCTAGGCTTAAAAGGAAGGTACCTCCAAATGCCAGATGCAGGGGAGGGGTATCAGGAGACAGGTCTCTAGTTGTCTCCTGTGCTCCCAGGGGCATCTGGTGGGGCCACTGTGAGATCTAGGTAGCTGGACTAGATGGACCCTTGGTCTGATCCAGCAGGGCTCTTCTTATGTTCTTATGTTATATTTTATGGTTGCTGGGCCTCCAGGCCCTTTTTTGTGTGTACATACCTGTCTCCCCCATCTTTACTGCTCATTTTATGGGAGAGGATCTGAATATTACTGCTCTTCCCTCTTTCGCAGACACAGAAGAGATAATGAACCATATTTTGTTTCTTCTTTTTAACTACTTTCTGCTGCTTTATCTGCAGCAAGATGCTATCAGTGGCAAGTCAAGTGTTGGGAGATTTCTTTGACAGTTCTCCCAAACATCCGATTACCAATGGCCTTCTCTTGTTCTCCACTTCAAAGGAACTGCCTCTCCCTTACACTGTTTCCTCTCCTTGAGTGCTTTCAGTTCTAGCCCTTGAGAGCAGCAGGCTGTGTTTCTAACTGGATTTAAGAAGACACTATTGCTGTTATTATGTGCACAGGACTGAACTTGATGTGGAATCTGGGCTAATGGCCTGACAAACACAAACTCCAAGATGGGAAGGTCTTGTGGAATTTTGTGGGTTTTATAAATCCTTCAAATCATTATATTTTCATCTGCCAGGTTCACAAAAAGTAGTCTGAGTTCATGAACCTATTTTCCTCGTAAGTCGATACCCTGTTTTCTCCCCAGTGTGATTCATTCTATTAGTAAGAACATTTTCCAATGAAAGGAGAACTCTGTGCTATTTTATGTCCAGCACTAGAAAGAGAATAAACTTCAATTACGCCTGCCAAAATTAAATGCCTACTAAAAGGTATTTATTTATTTCATAGATATATAATGTTTTAAAGGACCTCAACAAACATAAACAAACATATGCACTCTAACTCTTTTTCTTTACAGTGGACTATCTATCGCAGTATAAAGACACATACTGTATCTCTTTTTAAAAACCCTCATTTCTACTTTGCTTCTGTTTTGCTTTTGGAGGCCAGTCCTTTTTCAAATATTTTGTGAACTGCTATAGTTTCTGATCTTTAAAAGTTGCCTCCCCTCCTGTGGCTTCACTGGGAGTTAAATCTCTAGAATCATATGCCAGAACTTAGAAAAGTTAGCAGTTTTGGACTACAAATCCTGGAATGCCTGACCCACCACATCCGCTGGAAATTACATTTTTTAAAAGTACGCCACTGTGCGGCTGAGCCTTGTGGTGCAGTGGTTAAACTGCAGTACTGCTCATGACCTGGATTCACTCCCAGGTAGCCAGTTCAAGGTTCACTCAGCCTTCCATCCTTCTGAGGCTGGTAGATTAAGTATCCAGTTTTAGGGGGGGGAGAGGCAGTATGTGTGGAATGTGCTGCTTGCATAATTAAACTGCAAACCCCCAGGGAGTGTTTTAAGCACTTTAAGCACTATATATAAGCAGCATACAGTACTTATTATTTCCAGATGTAGGTATATGTGCATGTGTATATAAACAAGGCATTGTGTACACAAGGCATTGCAAGTGGGGATAAGCCACCATTCTACATGCCACCATTAGTGATTTGCAAATCAATTATGCTTATCAAGGCCTGGAATTGTAACTATACTATCTTCTTGGATTATACTGGGCACAGACCTACATTTGCAAATATAGCTGTGGATATTTGAACAGGTACTGTTTGGGTGCTGCTAGCATGTCTGGTGGCCTCACTGTTCGCATGCATGACTGGCAGTTTGCCACTTTGGCAGCTTTGGATCCAAGCAAGACGAAACTCAAGAGGACGCTGACCTAGAAAACGGCGCTGCCTTCTGCCCACCTCCAAAAGAACCTTTCAGGAAATGGTTGGTTCTTCCACACTTCATTCCAAACTGATTTCAGATCCTTTGTCACTCTTCGTGATATTGTTGAGCATGGAACATGACCCAACCCTTAAAGGGTGCCCAAACGTGTATCTAATTGCCCAGCAGCCTGTCTAAGTTGCCTCTCCTCTGGTAAAACCTATCTCCCTGCTCTTATCTTATATGTTCTGACAAAGTAAGTGCTGGAAGAAAATAACATGGTCTTTCTCTTTTTCCCCTCCCTCATGGCTGGGTGCTGCAGTGCCTGTATGCCAGACACAAGGAGTTCTGGGCAATGTAATTGCCACAGTGCTGCTGAAAGAGATTGTGGCCCTGGGAAATACCATTTCCCAGGACTCTCTGCTTCTGGCATGCACCATAGCAGTATGCCAAACATAAGAGTTAGGGTGAGGGAAGAGGGAAGAGATTTGGGTGGTTGGGCTAGAGGAACATGCTTGTATGGATATGGTGATGTGCAGACGTTCTGAGGAGTCTTGATTTTTTTTTCCTTCTGAGACGGAAAAGAATTTCTAGCATTTTAATGCTTGTGTCATACTGGTACAAGCATTACAAACTCACAGGGATTAGTCCCCCATATTATGCTCTGACAGTGTTCAGATTCTCCACTACCTACCATTTGATGGGCCCAGATACACATCATTGCAGATCAGTCATCGATTGTATTTTCTTTTCTTTCTTTTCTTTTTTTTTGTATTTAATTAAAACTACCAGAGGAGAAAGCTTTCCTAGCTGACACACACCCATCTGGGTGAAAATGCTCACTTCCTAACCCTACTAAAACTGAGGC